AGCCTTCGGGTTCAGGACAAGTCTTAATATAATGACCGTCCCTTCTACCGCATCTCCCACACTTCCTCTTCTTTTTCTTCTGTTGTTTTTTTGCCTTTCCTTTTCTACATCCCTTGAACAACACTTTTTTGGGATTGAGGACTCTTTCGAACTCCTTAGGTATTACCATCGATTCCCTTTCAGCCGGAGTTGTTCTCATCATTTCCAACTTGTCCCTCACTGCTGTCAACCCCCCTCGAGCAACCTGGAAAGATAGAGGAGTCTCTGCCCCCAATAGGAAAATATGTGTAGCCAAGAACTGGAGTGACCCATATCTGGTGTTGAAAGAATGATCATCCCCCACCTTAGGTGGCGGTGGCATACTGTCTATTGACTTAGGGTTCTTTGAGCAACGTTTAAGTACCAGTTTCTCAGGAAGACTTTTCACCCGTTCTTCTTTCAACACACAGAGCATATGAGTGCAGGGAATTCCAACACTGTTAAATTTTTTACAGCTGCACTCCATATCCTTTGTTTCAAGGTTGTATTTTACCTCCACAACCTTCTGTTTGTTGAACATACTTAAACTGTAGGTGTGTATGTTTCCATCCTCAGATTGAGTGTTCTTTATGCACCCAATAACCTGCTCTAGTTCACTTCTGAATTTAAGAAATGCAGCTTTCGAGAACAACTTAACTGCACTTTCCTCAAGGGGTCTAAGCATGGTGCTCTTTAGCGGGGTTAAACCATAATTAGATTTAAAATCTAATTTGATCTCTGTTTCCCTCAAATCCCTACACCAACGATCATACTGAATGAAAAAGTCAAGCAAACAGTGTCTCTCCTCCAAATATCTTCCAACAAATGAATTTATACCTTCATTTCTTGATGTGGTTGTCAGCCCGGCAAAGTAGTGGGAGCGCAAGTATGTGTCCGCCCATTCTCCGCGTCTCCCAAATAAATTTGTAGTCACCCATTGGTTGTTCTGTAGACCACATTTTTCCACTAATTCCTTCCATTTCTCTTCAAATTCTTCTTCCTCATAATCAGCAGTTACAAATTTGCTCCATTGGGGTTCGAAGTCTGGGTTATTCTTCACCTTGCCCTTGATATTCTTTGAAAGATGCCACGCACAAAGCCGGTGTGTTGCATCTGGAAACACAGTAGCAATGGCATTCCTCATTGCTTTATCCCCATCTGTTACAACTGTATGCAAGTCCTTTCCACCCAACATTTCCTTCAATATCTCCAAAGCCCACTTGTAGCTCCCTTCAGTCTCATTAGCTAACAGTGCACTCCCAAATAAGCAACTCGTGAAATGATGGTTGATACCTGAAATAGCAAGTGCTTCTCAACTTGTTTACAGATTAGAAAATTGAATATACGAATCAAAATTAGCACTAAGGTGTGTACCTGTGAAAATAACAAGAGGCATATTGTAAATATTTTTTTTGTATGTCGTGTCAAATGCGAGCAACTCGCCAAAGCACGAGAGGTCAGCTATGCTCATACTGTCTGCCCAGAATAAACTGTGGAGCCTATTTTCCTCGTCAGTAGTGTACCGGAGGATGAAGTGCGTGTCCGTACTTTTCTTCGATTCTAGATAGGCCAGTGCGGCTGCCGCATCACTAGGACATAGCCTTTCATTGCGATCTCGAGTGCTGAAATTCATCCCATCTTTTACTGTGTACCCAACTTTGTCATGTCCTCCAGCATTATGCACAGCAAGCTTTATGATTTGAGAAGGTTTCATACCTGCATTCTTCTTAAATCTAAAGTCTGCCTTGTCAGCCTCTGTTAACCCTCGTTGTGATCTTAGGTGATGAGTACAATGCCGATTAATTGGCATATGATTGTGATCTTCTTTAAATATATCCACTATCCATTTTGAATCATTCTTGTTAAATGCCACACGCATTTTTGCTTGACAACCAAATCTGGTCTCCATGGGGGAGTCTCTCTTCTTCTCCCCTTTGTTGGGGGCTCTATGTCCCTCACAAGAACAAACGAAAGCTCCATTAGTAACCTCTCCCTTGCTGTTCCGAACTTTCTTTGAGCGCCTAACAGAGAATCCCCAAGCCCTTGCATAATCATTGTAGAAGTTGTAAGCTTCTTCAAAGTCATTAAATATCTGGCCGATTTTAGGAGGATCTAAAATCACATCTTCCATCCCAGTCGTTTCTCCATTCTGATCATCATCGTCATCTCCTGTTTCCTCTAAAATCTCAAGGTCATCTTCGATGGGACTGTTACGAGGATGTTCTTCTTCTTCCATCGATAACCTTCTTTGATTTAGGGTCTCGGCAGGGTGGGATAATGACTTTAGGTGGTTGTAGAGGGTTGGAGGCGCTGAACGTGTATGTACGTTCTCAGATTATGCCCAAATAGCTGCAGGAAACCTATTTTTACCCGTCTGTTGTTTTGACTATGTTAAGAATCATTATTTTAGTATTTTTGGTAGCGTAACCTTCCACTTCAATTAATTATCCAATGCTGCCATGTGTAAATTGATTCATTTATTTTTTTATTTATTTGTCTCTCTCCTTACCGATCTGCTTCCTCTCAAAACCGGAAAATCTTCATCCTTCTGTGTTCTGTACAGAGGAAAAAACGTGTAAATTGAATTCGATTAATAAACAAATAGATGATGATAAAAGAATTTTCTAAGTTTAATTAATGATAAAAGATTTTCCTGTATAGCTTAATAGGATTTTCTAAGTTGACTTAATAAGGTAGATAATTATAACACTTACCATAAAGAGAAAAACACTCTACATCCCCCTTTATTAAGACGTGTAAAACCCCTTTTTCAGGAATACCCAGTTCTGTTCTGTACCGTTTTGTGAAGCTGGAACAGAAGAGGACAAGGGAAAAGCAAGGGTAAGTAAATTATATACACAAGGAAGAAAGCCACCATCGTAATTTCTCTCTTTCTTCTAAATTCCTCTTTTGTTATGATTTCTTTTTTATCTCAGGGACAAGAACAAGATGAAGCATGTTGTGGACAGCGGGGTAATGACAAGATCAAAGGCGCGGTCGTCCGGTTTAATGGTATGTCAGTTTACATGTTTTCATATCTCCATCGTTTATGAGCTTATTTTTCGTTAAAAACTAAAGAACGACGATTGTTGTTGTACTATGAACGTAGGAGCTGGAGAAGGATGTATCTCCGGTAAAGAAAGCTAGAACTGAAGACGGTGCGATCGCTCCATCGACGCCGGGATCAAATATGATTGTTCTTGATGGTGAATCGAGGGGAGATGGCAATGCTTTAGTCTGGAAAAGTCGTACCAGATTATCAACCCTGCAATTCACCGATAAGGTATTTCTACCCTTCTCTCGTATTTTCTGCTTCGGTTCTCTTTTCCGGCACTTGTTTCTTTGTGTTTTGCTTCCCAATCGATAGTGGCGAAGTTATCTGTGTAAACTTTCTCTTATCTTTTATTTCCTTCACAGACTGATTGTAGTATCGCAAAGCTGCTGCATAATCGCCCTATAGTTCAGATGAATGAAATATACAAAATTAGTGTGTTTAGTAGTCAAACGTATATATTAGAACTTAAAAATTAACTACTGTGGTCAGATGGAACTAATAGAATGAAGTAGCCAGGTTCCTACAATTCTTAGCCATCACTGATACTTATGAAGGTGCCTAGACAAGAATGACTCAATTATATGGCTCTTGAACAAGCAGTCCAAGCATGGTTCAATAACAATAAGTAGATCAGGGTCTTCGATATTACTTTTTGAGCAACTTCTTATAATTATTATGAAATCATAATGGCAGAAGGGCTGTGTGAAGAGCAATCTTCTGCTACCAACAATTAATTAACTTTAACGCAACATGAGGAATGCACTTAACATATCAAAACCAGAGAACTACAAACCTTGCTATGGTACGAACGAGCTAAGTTATAGTATGAATGTGACTTTGTGGGCCCGTGATTGGTCACAGCTAGTGCGGTTTCTGTCAGTTGCTCAACAACATAATGCTGTCCGGTGAAGAAAAAGTGATTGGCTAAATAATTGAGTGCCATAGGGCAATAAGGGTAAATTTCGAAAGCTTGTCTCATCTTTTCCATCCCTTTCCTAGTACGAGAAGCTGTGGAGATGAAAAATGACAAATTAGCAAGCCTTAAAGTAACAACTTCATGTGGAAAAAAAATAAGCAGACCAACCTTCATTTGTTTGTAAGTCTAGAACTGCCAGTGCAACTAGAGCCTCAACATTTTCCGGATCTAACTGCATATAAGAACATACAAATGAAGGCATCACTTATAACCAACTTGTATGATGCCCGCCAGGCGAGTGCAAATGCAATGCTTGTACTTACCTGTAAAACACGATCAAATGCCTTCCGGGCTCTTTCGAAGTGGCCCATCTTGTACTGACACTGACCAATACCAAGCCTGACAGGTCCAGGACAATCAGGAAATATTTGTAATACTCTCTGAACAGAAGCCAAAATAGCTAGCGTCATGGCCACTCTTAGTCCATACAAATAGATAAAAACAAGCAGCAATGAAATGAGGATAACAAACCCTAAGCTTAGCCTTGGAAGAATTGGGCCGAGACCCAAAGTTATTTTATATTTTTTTACGGGTCTGTTGGTTGAATTTGATTCACCATGTTTTGTGATATAGTTGCTTGAGAGAGATTCAGGGCCTCGTATTAGTGTGTTTCTTCACTACTGAAGTGATTTAAATGGCAGTATGTATCAGTAGCCAACCTTGAACAAGTTGCGCTCTTTATGTGAAGATTACGAATGACGATTACATTAAAATTAGGGCGATAATTAGCAATCCCCTCTAATCCACCCCACTAATATTTTTCTGCCTTAAAACGGAATCAGTGGTTATATTTTTATCGAACCCGCTAATATTCTTTCATCTTTCATTGCAGGCAGAAACTAAGTTTAGGCTGCCTCACGCTGTCAACTACAGTGAGGAGGAAATCAGACTTGCTCACTACATCTTTGCAGCTGACCTTCCGCTAAAAGAGGTCCTAGTCGATACCATGATGAAATCCTATACGCGAAAGGCGCTATGGTCCCTCTGCCCTAACTCCAATGTTGATGCTGATGTAAGTTTTAATCCTGGCCTACTGTTACTAATCAGGATGTTGAACTGGCATAATACCAATCTCCTAAAATTTGTATACCCTGGTTGGTTGGTGTGTTAGGTAATTACAGCAATGACTTGCCACTTGACCCTGGACGAAATTACGAGAGATGCTGGCCGTGGGAGAAGAGTATGTTTTCTGCCTTCTGAACTGCAGGTACATATTGATTTACCTTGTACATGTATTTTAGGTGAAATATACTGTTAGTCCTATGGTATATAATAAACGTGTAATTCTGCTAATTTAATCAAATCATGATTAGGAAATGGTACTTAACTATGGCATGACACCGAAAAAGGCTTTAGAGTGTTACGGTACAAAGTTTCTCACAACAGCTCACACCTGCAGAAAGGTTTTCTTCTCCAATCAAGCTATTTAACTTTTTCATATATGAAATGTCAAATATGGTTTACTGATGTTAGTATTTCTTGTCATAATGTAGTTGTGTCTGCCAATGAAGGATATCATGCATGGTGATGACATTCATTGGTATTTAGTAGTCATCTTGATGGATGACAAGCAAGTTCATATCTTGGATTCATATCCTTCTAATGAGCGCCAAACACCTCGCAAAGATGCAGTACAAACTATGGTATGGTCAGAATTTGTGTGTGGAATATGATTATATTTGTGAACTGGATTTTTGTTCTCTTCTATTTGTAATAAAGTTACTCCTTATGTAGATTGGATTTCTCGATGCCTTGTTCGAGGATCTTTATTTACAAGTGGAACAAATGTGCGATCCCCCAGTGATGAAGGAGTTCTCTTTGACAATTCCTAAAGTTCCGGAACAACGTCACGAGTAAGAATCATTCCTCATGCATAAATTCGAAAACATACTCACTACTGATCATATGCTTCATCTAAATTTATGTAGGTCTGACAGTGGCGTTTGGGTGTGCGTATGGATGATGGGTGCAACTTGGGATGAAGATTATTTTATATGGGTAAGCAACAATTCACTTGCTTGAACTTGTAGTTAAACAACCTAGTGAATTTGCTATTGAGATCCATTGTCTTGTGAAATATTTTCAGCCATGTGGAGATATGAGGAGAATGCAACTAGCTTTGTATCTAGTTAAACAACCTGCAAATTATATAAGGCATGTGGTCATCAAGGAAGCAAATAGGAATGCACAGAGGTTTGAACTCGAGACTCGTACGTACAAGGAAGAAAACCGAAAGAGGCTGAACAAGAACTAGAGCTATATGGAGATTGTGCTTCCATGATTTCGTAATTTAAGCTTGCTTTTTTTATTCAAGGACTTGTTCGTTATATGTTTCACTACATTTCATCAGATTAACGGTTGCATTTCTGTTGGGTATTTTGGGTGAACAAATTTCAGTTTACATTATCATGAGATTCGGTTCTTTTCGTTCAATGTTGAACTTGGTTGTTTGTTGAACTAGCTACTGCACGTTATTGTTTCCCAAGCAGACCAGTTCTAAGGAATGTTTTATTTTGAACACTAACTGTTCTATGGATTGGTTGTGGATTTCTTTCCAATGTAGCGGTTGTGCAGTCCACGGTCTCGCCTTCTTGCTCAGATATAGTGCCTGGGCCAGACTGCTGAATACACTGAAACTGAAATAATAATCCCAGTCCATCAAATTCACAAACAAACCATGTGGCGACTAACGATTATCAATCCACTCAAAAAGGTTTGAAAGAGAAAGGATATGAACCTGTTCCACGTTAACAGCTTAAAGATTGATGCATTACTTAAGTTTGTGATAATATGTTCAGAATCCTCTACTTAAACCGTATTACCCCCCAATTTCACTAGTTTTCATTATGAATTTGCCTCTTCCCCAACACCCTCCACGAGAACCCCAAAGGAAAAGAGGAAGAAAATAAATCTCCACCTTAATTGCAATTATACAGGTACGAAATAATCAACACCACTCCAAGCTTGGAAATTTTCTTATTACAACTAAGTGACAAAACAAATTGAGCGAGAGAGTGCTGCTCAATGGAATTATCACAAGCTCAAGGATTTACAGATTCAATGTTATAAATCCATACCAGACCATGTATGGACACCAGTCACATCCAAGCTCCCTAGGCCTCAGTCTTCCAGTCACATCCAAGCTCGATCAAATCTTTTCACCAGCCCTTCCACTTTTGCAGAACTCGTCAAAATTAGACAACAAGTTCAACTGATTCTCATAAGCATCAACTCAGATAGCCTTTCGGCGGCGGCCTGCAAGATGACAGTCACTCAGTGATTGCCAATTTAACTTTCCCATGAGCATTTTTTGATTACCCTTCCTCATGTCTGACCTCCGCACCGCCATCTCCATCGATTTCGTCTGCAGGTGTTTCCAGTATAGAGTTTTTCGTCGAACAGCCCTTACCCCCATCTCTCGAGTATGCGATTTTCACTATGCAATAGATAGCGATGGCGCCCGAAAAAATCCAGAGCTCGGCTATTGAAGTCGATCAGCCCTCATGTCTGACCTCCGCACCGCCATCTCCATCGATTTCGTCTGCAGGTGTTTCCAGTATAGAGTTTTTCGTCGATCAGCCCTTACCCCCATCTCTCGAGTATGCGATTTTCACTATGCAATAGATAGCGATGGCGCCCGAAAAAATCCAGAGCTCGGCTATTGAAGTCAATTTGGTAGGAGAATTGATTCGATGGTGAAAAGAGGATAGGGTTCGTCCGTGAGAAAGAACCTGGAGCTCGGCTATTGAAGTCAATTTGGTAGGAGAATTGATTCGATGGTGAAAAGAGGATAGGGTTCGTCCGTGAGAATGAAGGGGATATGGGAAAGGGGTTTTTTGGAGTTGTACGACATGGTGGTTCTGACTTATGTGTTTACATCTATCAACTAATGAATAGTTTGAATGTAACTTGATGGAAACACAATCACACAAAAATTGGGTGATCGGTTAATTAGATAGAAGAATATTAGGCATGATAATATGGAAAGATATGAAAATTTTGTATAGGGACTAAAGAGCACGTATTAAAAAGTAATAGAACCAATCAATTATTATAGAATCGTAATTAATAAATAATTTAATTAGAATTAATAACAGACGTTAGATTAAATCAACGGTGTAGAGAACCTGGAGCATGCTATGCGTCTGGAGCGTACGAGTCTGAACCATATATATATATATATATATATATATATATATATATATATATATATATGTATGTATCTAATGATTTCGCTTTCTTGTTAATGAGAGTTTTCTAGAATGAGTGGTGTAGAGAGATATATGTATATAATCTCTTGCATGTGCTATTGAGTACAGTAATAGGTGGGAACTAAGTAAACGTGGGTTGTTAGGATGTAATCCTGTGCACAATTATGTTTTTAAGATGACTAATGGCTAAGCTAAAGTTATAGGAATTTAAGCTGGGATGATGTGTCATGGATTAAAGGTATTATGAGTATAAATATATTAGTCGGGTGAAAGCTAATTATGTGAGGTGTGAGTCAAGACAAGAAAAATGGTTTATGGTTTTATTATTTGTGCTTGAATTCTTGCTATTTGATTATGTTAAAAATAGTAAATAGAAGTGGTACTAAATCATCCATATATGATTCATTAAAGGAAAGGAGAGGCAAAAGGGTATAGCAAAGTAATCGAGTTCTAACCTAGTAACTTAATTAATACGAGCATGTTATTTGGGTCATGAAGCAGCCCAAATCCAATGTAGCGAAATTAATTATAGTAAAGTGCAGTTGTGTGTTCAAGTATGTGTTAATGATTATATGATATGATGATGATGTGGTGTGATTTCTACGTTAATGCATGGATATAGAAGTGACAGGGGGAACCTCAATGGATAGAGTGATAAGAATGCTGATGAGATGAGTATAAAGAGGGCATTAAAGGCCTCCGTGATGACGATAATGATGACGATGAATTCGATGATGTTGTTATTAATAACGGTGATGCATGTGATGTGGATTATGGTTACGCATTTGATATGATGTAATATGAATGTGTGTTTCTTTGTATGTGTGTGTTAAACGGTTAGTCATGCACCCGGAGAATATGATGACGTGATAAGTCCTTGGTAAGGACTTTGTGTATATATATTCTGTTATGTGTTGATTGCCTGGGCTATGGGAGGAAGTTACTGACTATTTAGGTTGGCGGAGGTGAGGAAGCCTAAGCATCTACGAGGAAGTGGAGGAGGAGGAGGCGGAGGCGGGAAAGAAGATGATGGTGTATGACTAAGACGGAATGGGTGATGGATGCTTGTTGTGAATCATTTTTATGTGTGTGCATGTTGTGATTGACAATGTTCAAATGGGTATGGTGTTACTCTCGTATTGGTATTGGTCCTATATGTGCCTATGTATGAGTGGCGAATTTTTATAAAGGTACTGGTATAATGAGAACAAGGAGGTGTATGACACTAACCGTAATTGCTCAATACCTTGTTTATGTTAATTATGATACTAGATTAGTTCATTGAGTGACGTCTCACCCTGTCAATATCTTTCCCTTATCAATAGCTAAATGCGCCAAGTGACGAAGCATGCCTGAGTTTGATGGTGGCGAGGTGGGCGGGAGACTGAACTCTCCACATTGTTTTACATGAGACATTTGAAGATGGGTTTCCCCAAAGATTTTGTTTTGAATCAAGAGCTTAACGATCATAGTAAATAGCTAATGATGTGCATACATTTTTAATGGTTTTAAATGGAGAAAAGCAGGTGGGTGTTACAACTGTGCCCCTAATTATAACACACACAAAAACAAATAAATCAGACACAACATGTTGACACGCTAATAACCATTCATCCACTTGAACTCTTCACTCAATCACAAAAAAAGAAAATAAGGAAAAGAAAACAAATCGACGTTGGGTTGCCCTCCCAACAAGCGCTAAGTAAACGTCACTAACTTGACGTTGCGGATCTATCATACATGAGAGTACGAAGCCACCGAGAGTGGATCCGCCTCAGTCTCGGGGTGAGATTTTTCGCCTCCCAACTTAAGCTCCAAAGGATGGCCCTCTTGGCCAACTACCTTGGCTTTACCCTTGTCTTTCTTTTGGGTATAAACGCGATTCATCCTTTCTCTCCATGCTCCCTTTTTCCTTTCTTCGGGTTTGATACCCTCCTCTTTTTCCTGCTTCACATCACCACAAGGAACACAAGTAATAGTGGGTTTCTCCTAGAGGCTCGCCTCCACTTCCAATCAACCATTCGAGTCCATTTTCTTTACATCATCATTCTTAGTCTTAGGATCAATTAAGAGAGTAAGTTGCTCCTCTCCATCTCTCAAAATTAGTGTTCCCTCGGTAACATCGATTAAGGCCTTAGCGGTGGCAAGGAAGGGGCATCCTAGAATGAGTGTCATATTTGCATCTTCACTTATACCAAGGATAACAAAATCCGCCGAATAGTAAAATTTGCCAATTCTTACTAGGACATCCTCCACAATACCTCTAGGACTAATGACAGAGCGATCGACCAATGTGATACTAAGCCTAATAGTCTTTAGCTCACTTAGATGCAACTTCCTAAAAAGCTTGTAAGGCATCACATTAATGCTTGCACCTAAGTCCGCCAATGAATTTTCTATATGATGTGTTCCGATGCAAAGTGGTATAGTGAAACTACTTGGATCTTGTTGTTCCTTGGGAAACTTGTTGAGAATATAGGCGGAGGAAGCAATGAACATTTCTTATAAATAGATGATATGTTCTTCAACCCTTGCTCTCTCACCTGTTCCATTCTTATACATAGA